CGACGAATGGGACGAGACCTGGTTGAGCTGCACTAGAGAAGGCAACGAGTGTTATCACTATGTCGGAGACGCGCTAGTTTTTCCAAGGCAGACGAACTTGGTTACAATCATCCGTGTTTAAATCGTGCTCAAATTGGTTTGATTTTGATGCAATATTTACACTGAAGCTCGCATTCGAAAAATATATATTTTTTTGGTTTGTAACATAGCTATCCTTTAATGTAAACAGTCTGCAAAGTTGTTAATCAAAAAAGTGCATGATAAATAAAGATATTGTCTCTCAAAAGAGAGAGTCGACTCTGAACCGCCTTAACTTAATTTTTGAATCTTCTGCCTGTTACCTATATACGTAACAATGTAACACATTTGCATAATCCCCACCTGCCCACGAAATACGAACTCTGACCTGCCCACAAACACTTTTGCTAGTTAGTGTGTTTATATCATATCTAACACCGTTCCCACACGTGCACCTCAAATAAGTAAATAATAATAATAATGAATGCAATAAAACTGCTGTCACATCACGTAAAGTACCACATACAAAGTTTAAACTTACCACTGAGAAACGTCCTGATCAAGTCGTGCTTGCGATGGTGTTTCCAGTTGAGCAACTGCATCGGTATCATCCTCGGCCTCGGGCTCGAATTGATAAGGTAATATCGATGCCATTTTTGTAACCTTATAGCATCTTTGTTTACAAGTAAACCTCCGGAGCAAAAAAATTAATTATGGTAATTAATGGTTTCGTTTCCGACACGCATTAATGCAATAAAACTGCTGTCACATCATGTAAAGTACCACATACAAAGTTTAAACTTACCACTGAGAAACGTCCTGATCAAGTCGTTCTTGCGATGGAGTTTCCGGTTGAGTGACTGCATCGGTATCATCCTCGGACTCGGGCTCGAATTGATAAGGTAATATCGATGCCATTTTTGTAACCTTATAGCATCTTTGTTTACAAGTAACCCTCCGGAGCAAAAATAAATTATGGTAATGGGCGTTTCGTTTCTGACACGCATTGTATACGGAAAGACCAATCACAACAGAGTCCGACTTGGCCAGCTGACCAATCAGAGCAGAGTAGGCTTATAGAAGGGAGGAGTTTACAGACCTTAAGCTCAGAACTGCTTCGAACGAATCGTTTCGAAATCATTGAAAAATGATTCTAATATTAAATGTATATTTTGAGAAAACCACAATGTTTTCTGACATTAGATGCATTTAGACCTGTTGTAGGGGACTCCAACACAATATTAGGACACTTTAAAATACCATATGACCTGCTCTTTAAAAATAATTATGGTAACACTTTATTTTAAGGTGTCCTTATTACACATGTTACATGTACTTACTATTATAATAACAATTAATTATGCATAATTACATGCAAGTAACCCTAAGCCAAACCCTAATCCTAACCCTAACCATATAGTAAGTACATGTATTTAATTAATATTACTCAGTACTTAAATGTATAATTACACTGTAAAAAGGACACCTTAAAATAAAGTGTAACCATAATTATTATATTAATCATAATATATGTTTGTTATTTTATCTTTGTTATTAAAAATAAGCACAAAGAGGCAAAGAAATAGTAAAACAAATATAAGAAATAAGCAAATTAAATTAACAGTGCTTTACTTTCTTCATTTGACATCTGAACAGAATCATTCAAGTAAGAAAAACAATAATCAAATGTAAAAATCACTGCATAGCCATTAGTGTATTCATTACAAATAAAGTAGTTCAGTCAAGAGCAGCGAGCGATTCCCTCTTTTCTTTTATTGTTTGATTAACATTAATGAGACAGACGGCCTATATCAGGGGTGTCCAAACTCGGTCCTGGAGAGCCGGTGTCCAGCAGAGTTTAGCTCCAACCAGCTCCAAAACACCTGCCTGGAAGTTTCTAGCAAGCCTAGTAAGAGCTTGATTAGCTGGTTCAGGTGTGTTTGATTAGGGTTGGAGCTAAAATCTACAGGACACCGGCCCTCCAAGACCGAGTTTGGACACCCCTGGCCTATATATTAAAGGAACACTCCACTATTTTTGAAAATAGGCTAACTACAGAATACGATGTAACTACAGAAGAGTCAAGTTTTAAATAGGAAAAATATCGAAACTCTTTGGTCATTTTTGAGCGAGATGCTAACGATCTAATCAGATTCAATGATCTATGCTAAGCTACAGCTAAAAGTGCTACCGCCAGACCCGGAGATTGGCTGAATGGATTCGAAAACGGTAAAACTCAACTGTTTAACTCTAGGGGAGTTGGAAAATGAGCCTATTTTCAAAAATAGTGGAGTGTTCCTTTAAGACCTACTAATACAATGTTACACATCAGATGTTTTTCCCCAACAGTTAACCAAACGTTCACTTAAGACATAACAGATTATGTTTGTGTGAATACTCGCCAAGACAGAAATACTGTAATTCTGCATGTATGTGTATATTGGAATGATTGGGGTCAGTAAGATTTTTTAATGTGTTGGAATGATGTCTCTTATACTCACCAAGGATGCATTTATCTGATCAAAAATACAATAAAAGCCGTAATATTGTGAAATATTAATACAATTTAAAATACACTACTGGTCAAAGGTTGGGAATTAAGTTTTTTTGTAATGTTTTTGAGAGAAGTGTCTTATGCTCACCAAGGCTGCATTTATTTGATGAAAAATACAATAAAAAAAAAACAGAAATATTATTATATATTATTAGTTTAAAAGAACTACAATTTAAAAGTAATGCTTTTTTATCAGGATTATTTGATAAATATAAAGTAAAAAAAATAAAAATAATAATTTTAAATAGAAATATTTTGTAACATTCTTTGTGTCTTAACGGTTAATGCATCTTTGCTGATATAAAAGTATATAAAAAAAAACACTTACTGGACCTAAACCTTTGAATGGTAGTGTATCTTAATATATCTATAATTATTCTGATGGCTTTCAGTCAATGCGGTAAAATACAATTCAATTAAATAGTTAAATAATCATTGTATGTTTTACATTCTGTTTTTTTAATTATTGAACACTGAACAAGAATATTATTGAATCATTAACCATTTATATGCATCAGTAATGCATTACATTTAGTAAATCTAATAATCAGCAATATTAATACATATAATTAATATTTTTCTATACTAAAACCTCTGAACATTTTTGAGTGATGACGCAAGACAACATGTTACGTTTTAACTACATGTAGTGGTGGAAAGCACTTAAAATACTACACCTTTTTAGTATGTTTAGTACGTAATACTGTGTGCCATATTCCTCCCCTTTTTTGTTAGGAGTGAAACCCAAGACTGGCTGGGCTGTGGATCCGTTCGGTCACACTCCTACCCATGCTTACCTGCTCAGACAAGCCGGTCTATCTAACATGCTGATCCAGAGAGTGCACTACTCAGTGAAGAAACACTTTGCCTCTCAGAAGACCCTGGAGTTCTTCTGGAGACAGAACTGGGGTGAGCAACTGATCTTGATGTAGGAAATAGAGGATGTTTTTATGGAAGAATGCTTTTTTTATAGTTCATTTATGCAGTGCTTTAATGTTTATGATGATTTTCTGTATTCCTTTAAACTAGTAAATATGATGCATTGGATGACAGGTCACTTACTATAAAATACCTTGACATTTCAGTTTGACTCAAGTTGCAAAATCAGTGTTAAAAAATGGCCTAAAAAATGAAAGTCGGGTCATCTTTTACTCACCACCATGTCTTTCCAACCCTATACAGCTTTTTCTTCCATAGAACACAAATGAAGATGTTCGCAGAATCATTTTGCATTTCATTTTTGGGTGAGCTGTCCCTTTAAGTCTCAGAACTGACTGTGTGTCAGAGTGGCCTCACACGTTTGATTGGAAATCTCTGTTCTAATCACATGAGCTGCTCGGCGGTGCCATTCACGCTTCCCATTGATTGAATCCATCTTTTAGTTAGCGATTATGCTGATTAAAACCTAGGTAGGTGGGGCTGCTCGCTACATTTAGTCTCACGATTTTAGAAACAGAGGTTGAAGTGAGATAAATCCAGTTTTCCATGAAGCATCTGCAGCTGCTGGCCCTGGTAACAGACCTAACAAAGTCTGTGCCTAGTAAAAGCTCGCCTCCTATTCCAGATGCATCTCCATCCCTGGAGGTCATTCAGACCCTCACCCTGAAAGATAACCACACAAACAGGAGCTATAATGATCAACCTCAGGAGGTCAGAAACCACACAGGAAGCGTGGTTAAAATAATGGTGCCGTGACCGTGCATCACACACCCTAGACCCTTTCCTGTTCCCCTTTCCTTTGGATAAATATTGTTTGGTAACATCCTGCATGTAGCTACATGTCAATAGTGTTCAGTCGAAGACCTCATGCCAAATGTTGTATCATGAAAAAGAAAAAGGTCTCATTTCTTGAGCTGTTACAAGAAATAAACCATGCAGAGTGTCAAATTTAGACACATTTGTGCCACACTTGAAAATGCATGAATGTCGTTGCATTAGGAAACAGAGTACAACATATCAAACCAAGTAGCAAGTATTGTACAAGCAAAAATAAATGCACAGAAAGATATAAGATATGAATCGATTTTAAATAATAAAACAATACTTATGCTGTTCAGAAAGTTGCATTTGGGTACTTTTTCGGTTATGAAGCATTACCAACGCATTCCGAACAGCATAAATTAATAATAAATGAGTTAATGGAGATTAAAATGGAAAATGAAAATAATTAATTAATTAACAGAAGGGAGCACAACGGCAGCCGTGTTTTAGAGTTGTTTCAAACAAAGTGCTTAAATAACTACTTTAGTGGCCCCTTTAAAAAGATTCTAAAAAGACACTTTGCCGCAAAACCTTTCAGTCCAGATCAAACTTCACAAGTCTGTAAATGGCACAAGTATTTTATCTGTGGCTTTATAAAATGAATATAAATTATTATGAGCTTTTTAGAACCTAAAAATAACCCATTGCAAAAAACAAAGGATTTAAAGGTTAAAACTTTAACGTCCTTTGTTTGTGTAACTGGTTATTTTTGGACTTATTATAATGTAAATTTGTTTGCTTTGTTATTCTAATGAAGGAGATCAAAGAAACAAAGGCGTATTACAGAAGCCCACTAAGTACATTTGTTTAATGCTGCACTGCTGAACTACCAACCTTGCCTCTTTCAATTTTATGAATTTGACTAATAGGCTATACATTAAGTATTAAAATAATTATTAAAATAAATAAAACTATAAAAAATATTGAATCATGAAGCATGGGAAATGTCTTCAAAAAGTCTAATCATTTTAAAGCATGTCTTTTAGTTTGCATTATGAAAGTGCTTATTAGTGAGGCAGAATCATGTGTAAATATGCATGTATAATATTTTGTGCAGAAATACACTAAGCTCTACAACCTTTAACTGTCCAAATATCTCATTATATAGGGTATAACGTTTCTCAATCCATAGTTAAGTGCCTATATTTAATGTGATGAAATACACCTGTGGTTACTCATGTGTGAACTTGAGGAGAACTGACCTAACTGAAAATGAGCTTGGTAAAATCATTGTAAAAATGGCTCAAAAAGGGAAGTTAGATCTAGTAGCATTTGTTTGCAGATGCCACATGGTTTGAGATCTCATGCAACGACATTCATACATTTCAAGTATGATTATATGTTCTCATGATAATGTGTTCTCATATTTTTGCTGCTGTGTGTTGCTCCATTGGCACTTGTTCTCTTATGATCTGAATGAAAAATAAGAGCTGAGAATGGTAAACAAAAGAGAAGTCAGAGGAAACGTCCTCCCACATCCCATCTATTGTTCTCCGTTGTCTGCCTGTTCAGTGTCGTTTATCTGTTTGCTGTTTTTTCCAGACCTAATGTTAAAAACCCCTGGAAAAAGGGACTCCTAACTTAGATCTCTGACTGTAGCCGGTGCTGAACAAATATGATTACAGTTAATTTGGCAGCGTGCACTCTATGCCAGGCTGAATTAGCTTTCTGTTCAATGTAATTCCATATATCACCATTTAACAGACAGCCAGACTACTCTGTGCTTCACATCTGGTCCCTTGTTTAAAGGAAAATCCTGCATTATTTATTTGCACAGCTTTTATGAAGGTCACTCTGGAGCACATGCTGTGCTGAATGGGTAATTTAATATTTTTATTGCAAATAAAATATGATTTGATTTTGACATTAGTGGATCATTTCGTGATTTGTAGTAGGGGTGGGTGATATGACCAAAATCTTATTTCACCGTATGAGAAATTTTATTTCATGATAACGATATTTCTGTCATGACATCTCTCGGAGGGATTGGCAAATGTTGAGCAGCGAGCTCATTGGCTACCGATACAGGAGAGAACCAATCAGCTGTGCCATGTGATAATGATGTCATTAGGTCAGATTGAGTTAGGCCTATCGGACTGCGCCATCTAGAGTTTCATGCCAGAACTCTGTATATATCGCGATATAGCTATTTTTATTTTTGTTATTAAGAAAAGGGAAGATTACAAAGACCTTTTTTCCTTGAAATAACAACAATAACAATGCTAACTGTAAAATTGAAATATTAGATGCTGTCACATTTACCGTTGTTCTGTGAATTTTCCTAGGCAAAATCCAGTCATTTCAATAGGAATCCACATGATAGGGATGCAGAGTTCGCAACAGGTTCAAGTTAGTCATGTAAATTTGCAACATTGACCGACTGATTTAAAAGTGATTTCTGTGTGACTTGTGCTTCATCTATCGCTACACTATTAACAGTAGGCAATGGCCTTTTTTTGTTCGCATGGCCACACAAGACTAGTAACTTCGCATTTGTTTTTGATTCCAACAGATCAGGACTCGAGTTCAGACATTTTGTGTCACATGATGCCATTCTACAGCTACGATGTTCCCCATACATGTGGTCCTGACCCAAAAATCTGCTGCCAGTTTGACTTTAAAAGGCTGCCGGGAGGAAGAATCAGCTGTCCGTGGAGAATTCCTCCTCAGGCTATCACAGATAACAACATACAGGAGAGGTACAGCTATACACACCAGTAACAGTCACGGACATTAGGACATAACTACCTTATTTGATTGTTTTGAACTATGTCTTGAAATAGTCTGTTCCAATAAATAACCATTTTTAATCCCTTTTTTTGTGTCATTGTTTGTGGATTTGTGTTCCCTCAATTCTGATTAGATTTAGATTTCCCTCCACTTAGTTTATTCTCTCCATATGTAGAGTTCAGACGCTGCTGGACCAGTACAGGAAGAAATCCAAACTTTTTCGGACCAATGTGCTGCTGGCTCCACTTGGAGATGATTTCCGTTACGCTGAAGCTGTCGAATGGGACCAACAGTTTGAAAACTACCAGAAACTCTTCGACTACATGAATTCTCACCCTGAGCTTCATGTCCAGGTCTAGCATCCTTAGACAGACTTCAGTGTTTCCTTTAATTGGCCACACTTTGAACTCTTCTTGGTATATTTTCAACCATAATTCTATATGTGTTCCTATATTATCTCTTTTGTTTCTCTTTGCAGGCCCAATTTGGAACTATTTCAGATTATTTCGAGGCCTTGCGTAAAAGCACTGGCATGGATCCGGTTGGCATGAATGTTGGGCAGTTGGCTTTGCCTGTGCTAAGTGGAGACTTTTTCACTTACGCGGATCGAGACGACCACTACTGGAGTGGATACTTCACCTCACGGCCGTTCTATAAACGCCTGGACAGAGTGCTGGAATCACACCTCCGGTAAGCCTTCACAACTTTAACCACATTGGAAAATGATCAGCAAAAGTTTATAGGATGCAAAACTCTCTCTTTAACTCTCTCTAGCACCAAAAGGTCATTCATTGCACCAAAGAGAAAATGTGAACTGCAAATATGAAAATATGCACTGCATTAATCTGCATAAATACACTGCATAAATATTTTTGGTCTGGGTCTCAATGTCCAAAAATTGAAACAATAAAAAAAATACTATTTCCATATGTCTGGACTTGACTTGCCTTTGAAACCATGAGTTCAAAATTAACAAAGTCAATTATGAGCCAGAATGCCTTGCTAATTTGTGCAATAATATTTGCAATTCATATTGTATAAACTAATGACATTTTCTGGAAATGTAGCTTTTTCAAAGTCTGATCACTTGTTGTTTTTGTTTTTTTTTTATTCAAAGTTTAGAGACCAAAATATTTTTGGTCTGGTTGGTCATCAGAAAAAGACTGTGAATTTGAAATGTGCTTATCTGCTAAAAGTTTGCTTATCAACTTTTATAAGTGCACTAGCATACAGATGACCTAACACACATGCACTAAAAGCCACAAAAATAGCATTTTTCAAATTGTCTGACTCATGCACACACAGTCAGACAGGTCTTAAGAACTAGTTTGACTAACTAGCAATTAATCAAGTGGTAATCAGCCTTACTTTTCGGATTTAAATTAGACCAGTCTACTTTTTTATGTAACCGATTTGAAAAATGTATGACCAGTCTTGCAGAAATAAGTTAGATGACTAACTTTTAAGACTAGTCTAAGCAGTTTATGCAACCGGCCCCTGAACTGATCGTGGTCGCTGGTAGAGTCTGTCTATAGGAAATGGAGCTCTGTGATAACAGACGTTACCATATTTTTCTTGCAGTGCTGTATGCTGCTAACTAACACACAAAGCCGAAGGTCACATGGCTGTGTTTTCACGATAAGACTGAAGCCCTGTGACAAGGTCACAGCAAATTAAAGCAGCAAGTTTTGAGCCAGCGACTCAGTGGCTTTAGTATTTATTTGACCATGGCCATTGACTGTGCCACCTCCTTTCTAACATGATATTGGCCCTAGAAAGATGAAAATTGATCTTATTAAGAAAATGCCCTTTATAAAGTAATTACCGCTAATATGTGGAATTTGAAAGAAATAACTCCTTGTTATATAATTATTTTTTTATTTGTTTTTTTTTTACAGCAGGAAACTGTTGAAATGTCTTTGCAGTTCTCATTAATTGACATTACAGTGGTACATATTGATTTTTCACATTGATTTTTCTACATGCTCCTCTACAGGCATTTTTTTTACATGTATCAGTAGAACACTATTGTTATTGTTAAAAATTGCTTTTGGTAATTGAAAAAAAACTGAAATTATTATAAATATTAGATGAAAAGCCTAATATAAAAGCCTAAAACTTATTTTAAAAACAAATAAAAATGAGAAAAGCACATAACAAAATGACTAAAACAAACTGAAATTAAAAATAAAATGTATAATATCCTATAATTAATAATAATAATAATAATAATCCAAACTGAAAATATAAAAAAACTCATTTAAAATATTAATAAATACAGTATTATTATTATTTAAATAATGCTAAAATAACCTTGCAATAGAGCTCTAACTTTAAACCCTCTAACCACAAAAAGTACTATGGTATTACCATTTTATAAAATTAATGTTCCATGGTATTATGTCCCATGTTTTTTGTTCATTCACCATGGTAGTACCATGGTTTTGGTTCATGTCTCATGGTTTTACCGTGTTTTATGGACATATACCATGGTATAGATTAGGTAGTACCATAGTAATTTCATAGTATTCTATTCTTTGAAGTAATATGAAGTATCATTTAAATACCATGTTGTATGTATATGATTGAGTTTTTTTATATTATGTGTTCTATACATCCTGTATGTGTGTGTGTGTGTGTGTGTGTGTGTTTGTGTTTGTGTATGTCAGTGGCTGCCCTGCATTTCATTGTTTAGTGCGATGCGTGATAAGAATATTAATTTCCCTCATTTAGTTCCTGTATTGTACGTCTATACCCTGTCCTCTCAAAGACGGCTGTACTGATCACACAAGTGAATAGATTGGGTACACCTTCAGCTCGCGGATGTGGAGAACTCTATTTAACGCAGTATTTGCATTTTGATGGGTGTCTAAATGTAGGCTGGAGACAGTTTTCATGAGTATGCAGTTGTTAAACTATTCCCCGTTCTACACGATGGCTTCTTTCACACAGCAAATAGGACTTTGTTCAGCTCTGCTCAGTTTCTCACACACACATACACACACACACACACACACACACACACACAGTAGACTGATTAGAGATATTCAGTCCAAGGTCATTTCATGTTTAATTAATTATTAATGTCAGTGTTTGGCTGTTCTTGCGGGAGCAGAAAGCAGATGTATGTTTGATGTGAAGTATGTAGGTCGCATGTACTGGATTTTTAGACTACTGTCTGTGAACCATATACAGAAATGTTGAAATGTTTGATCTGCAGAAACTACTTAGTCTTGCTTTATCAATTCACTTCAAAGATCTATTTGGTACCACTGTTTTGTTTAATTGAAATATTTTTAAGTCCTTCTGAGGCCCCGGGCCCCTGTTTGAGAACTACTGCCTTAAAGGAAAAATATCATTTCTTTTTTTTCAACATGTGAAATATGACTCATGTCCAACAGGTTTTGTGAGGTTTGCCCAGCTATAGATTTTCATCTCCTGTGGAAAATTTGAGAAGGTCATTATTCGGAGAGATGACACCTGTATTGTTACTATAATGTGGAGAGATTCTGGTATTATTGTTGTTTTCACTCTGACACACCCAACACAACAGGGACTGTACAAGACTGTTGTCTTTCTTTTCCTGGAATTTGAACATTAGCCGGATTCAGGAGGTATTTTGATGCCAGACGGATTCTTGTAACACTGCATTTATTCAGTGTGGATTTGTGGGAATTTTTGATCTTGCGAGGGAAGGAGTTTCATATATCACTTTATGTTTGTCCGCAGGGCAGCTGAGGTCCTCTACTCTCTGACCTTGGCCAACATTCAGAAGTACGGCCAGCCCAGTGATTACCCTGCAGTGGATAATTACAAGTTACTGACAGAAGCCAGACGCAATCTAGGTCTCTTCCAGCATCATGATGCCATCACGGGCACGGGCAAAGACTGGGTGGTTGTGGACTATGGAACAAGGTAGCACATCTTTCCTGAAATATCTGTGAAAGTGAGATGTATAGAAGACTTTTGCTACTTTTTCACTACCTTCAACATTTGCATACGTTTGTTGCATTTCGCCCCAAAGTGGCAGTCGCATAGATCCTTCAAATTGCTCGTAAAGCAGTCGTTACCATCTGCTTGAAAACCATGGTAAAATGACCAAATAATGAATGTATGAATATATCCACACAAAACAAAAGACCGCCAATATATTTAAAAGAAAAACATTAATAATACATTTTCTAGGGCTAATCAGCCTAAATTATTATTTGAAAATGATTTAAAAAAACTATCAGACAAAGAATTTTCCTAACCACCCATTTTACAGAAATAATTCTCATATCTGGTTGTGTATTTGCATACTCTCTAGATGCAAAAGTTTAAATATTTCCACGAAAAGATGCATTTACTGTATTTGATCAAAGCTACAGTAAAAACAGTAATATTGTGAAATATTACAATTTAAAATTTAAAATTGAATTTAAAATGTATTCCTGTGAAAATATAATAATAATTATAATATTCTTTTTTCAGTGTCATATGAACCTGCAGAAAACATTCTAATATTCAGATTTGGTCAAAAACATTTCTTATTATTATCAATGTTGAAAACAGTTGTGCACCTTAATATTTGTGCATTTTTCAGGATTCTTGGACAAATGCAAGTTCAAAAGAACAGAATTTATTTGAAATAGAAATATTAGGGGGAAAAAAAACTAAAGTTTTTACCCTCACTTTTGAATTATGTAATGTATCCCTAATAAAATAAAGTATTAATTTCATTCATTCATTTATTCATTCAAAAGATAAAAATAATAATAATAAAATGTAATTACATTTAAAAATAAATAAATAAATAAAAAATCTTACTGACCCCAAACTTTAGAATGCTAGTATAGAAACTTTGGGTTGCAAGTTCAGATTAACCACTAACCACTATAATATTAGTTTACATAAACGTACCTTACTCTTATAAAAAAAAAAAAAAAAAAATTTTTGAAATTTGATAAAGAAAAAAACAAAAATTTGATTCTTATTATTTGATCTTATCAGGTAAAACAAACCAAATATGAACCACTATGGTTCATATCACTATGGATTACCTTACTCTTAAAAAAAAAAAAAAAAAAAAAACTTTAATTTTTGATAAAGAAAAAAACAAAAATTTGATTCTTATTATTTGATCTTATCAGGTAAAACAAACCAAATATGAACCACTATGGTTCATATCACTATGGTTCAGTGATATAACATGCATCCCAAGTGAATTTCATTATTGAAACGGTTTGGTTTACCCATGAATGTTGGCGTGCACATTTGTACTGTAGCAACATCCTGATCTTTGTTATGTTTAAGGTTGTTTCACTCTATTCTGAATGTGAAGCGAGTGATTGTGAGCTCAGCTCACTGGTTGGTGCTCAAGGACAAACCAGCATACTACCATGATCCTTCAAATCCCTTTCTTCAAATGGTGAGTGTTCATATTGTACATCCATAACATGGCATCACTCCGAAATTTGGATATTGCCTTGTGCATGTCACACTTTTGCTGGTTCTGTATTACAGGATGACGTTCAGCCATCCCAAGATGCCTTACCTCGCAAAACTATTCTTGAAGTTGGTGAAAAACCAAGGTAAATTAATAATTCCTTCAATTTCTAAATTAAATATCCTTAAAAATACATTTCTCTATAGAAGAAACAAATTAGAGTTTTACTTCCGGAGCCTTGCTGTTGTGCATTATAGCAGAATAATGTTGAGTTGAAAATGGCCTCATGGTACATGTGTTAAAGTGGATGAAGTAGAGGCAGCAGAATCTGTGGCAAAAAAATGTTTCATAAAAATGCTTAATTTTTTTGCTGTTCCCAGGTTGTTGGTGGTTTACAACCCCACAGAGCAAGCCAGGACATCCATGGTTACAGTATACGTGACTACTCCTAAAGTGCGTGTGCTTAATGCTCTTGGTCATGTGGTCCGTGCTCAAGTCAGTGCAGTGTGGAATGATGCCAGTCATGCTGCTACCGACGTCTTTCAGGTGAGATCTGCTACATCGATGCATCATATCACAGCATTAGGGGTATGTTGTTTATGGAAAGGATCAATCTGAAGAGTGTGGATTCTTCAAACTAGTCCATGCTTAGTTTGAAGTCATCTAAATGCTCTTCTAGCCAGTTCATGGTGTCTTTAATCGTGTTTGTTTTTTCCTCAACAGTTGTCGTTTGTGGCTCAAGCTGCTCCTCTGGGTCTGAGCGTGTATCAGCTGATGGAAGGAATGGAGCCAAGGACAGAAGCTGCTAAGTACATGTTTCTTCAGGATGGCGGGCAGATTTCAGTCAGTAAACTGGAGCATTTCCCACAGTTCTACCAACAAGATGCGGCTCCTGTGCACATTGAAAACCCTCACCTGAAACTCTCCATCTCTACAGCTACAGGTCTTTTAGAGGTTAGATAATAGACTGCTGCTCTCTGGGTTTGCGGTAAGGTCATACATTTAGGAATGACTCCAGAGAACATCTCTTGTTTACAGAAAATGAGGTTGAAGGAGGATGACGCGGAGTTTCTGGTCAAGGTGGAGTTTGTTTGGTACGGCACCACCAGCAATAAAGACAAGAGCGGCGCCTACCTGTTCCTGCCTGACAAAGAAGCAACAGTAAAAACTATTTTAATCATTTGTAATTTTTTTTTTTTAGATTAATCAAATATTCCATATATTGCCCAGTAGTATTCTTATTCTTTCTTTCTGAGTGAATATTTTCCTACATTTTGTTTATAAACATAGTAGTAGAGAGAAACAGAAAATCAATAGAAAGTAGGGGTGCTCCGATTGATCGGCTACCGATCGCTATCGGCCAATAATCGCTTTGGGAAGTTTGATTGGCGGTCTCTTTAAAGGCCTCATAAACCGATCTCAAGCTGACACGCGCCTGCCTTGAGAGGTTTGGCATGATAAATAATTCTAAATGATAAAAAGAAGGCTTCAAAAAAATCGGTATCGGTGATCGTATCGGCAGATACTGCTTCCTGTGATCAGCGATCGGTGACCGGCTCCAAAAATCCTGATCAGAGCACCCTTAATAGAAAGTGGAGTGGTTGAAATCATAATTAAGCCTTGAATTAAAGGTGCAATAGGTGATTGTCTTCAGAAACATTTTTTGTTATGCTGGTTGAAAGTCTCTTCACATCCCGATAGCAATCATTAAGTTAAGTGGTCTAAATGTATTTATATGTATTTATATATTCTGTGGAAGGCGTAGGACCAATAAATGTTCGTCCAATCATAACACTCGGTCCGAGCATTTTGATTAGCTTTCATACCTGCCTGTCAACATATGTATTTGCCGGTTAATAACACATGATATATTGTAGTAATGTTGTCCATCACAGAGAGGCTCAAAATCACTTTCCAGAACATTCTCGTTCACCACTCCTGGCTGGTGGAACGATCTTCCCACCCCTATCCGGAATGCTGAATCCCTGACAATTTTCAAGCAACAGCTGAAAACCCATCTCTTTCGAAGCTACTTGACTTCATCAAAAACAAAAAAAAAAAAAAAAAAATTCTCTCTCTTTATTTATTCCTTCTCTTTCTAGCTTGTACTTATTTGAACAATGTCTAAGAACTTGGTATTACAACCACTTCCTGTGTCTGTTTGCCTCTTTAAGAAGAATCGCTTTATGTATCCCCCAATTGTAAGTCGCTTTGGATAAAAGCGTCTGCTAAATGACTAAATGTAAATGTAAATGTAAATGTCTCTGGTCGTCTGGTCTGTGTATGCGTTCAGGGGGCGTGGCTTTGGACGGCGATTGCAGGGAGGGTGGGACGTTCGCTTTCAGTGCTATCAGGCTAAAGTTAGCATTTTCCAAGATCTCCTACTGCACCTTTAAGGTTTCCCATGAGCACCACAACTTGAGCGTTTCCCCTCCGATGCTGGTGCCAATGTGAATAGTGGTGCAGGAAATTCTGACTTTTATCATCATTCACTTTGCAAAATAAATAATTACATGATTTTCATTTTGAGTTACTATTTCTTTAATAACAATAATAATAATAATAATAATTGTTAGTAGTAGAATTAGTAGTATTATTGTTGTTGTACAAGTATTATTATTAAAATTATTATATTTTATTTGCATTGTACCTTTCTTACATTTTCTTTAATAACAACAATAACAATAACAACAGTTATAACAGTATTATCATTATTTGCATTGCAACTTTCTTACATAAATATAATTTGCTACTGCTGAATAGAGGTGCAGGAAATACTGGGTAACATTGTCATTCACATTGCAAAGTAAATAATTACAAGATTTTCATTTCATTTAATAACAATAACAGCAACGAAAACTGTATATGCCCACTACTCTAAAAACTATTTGCAGCAGGCTTGTGGTTAATTTGAGGCAAACAAATGATTACAATGAAAGTTTGCTGGAACATATTTTTTTATAAAGTTTCACTCAAATTTATGTTATTCGGCTGATTGGAGTTCTAAATATAACGGTATAATATAATAACTGCTCACAGCTTTATCTGCTATCCACCCCAACACTGGGAAACCTCATAAGAGCTAAACTCTCTCTTTCATCAGGACATTAGGCAGTTTTGTCATGCAGTGTCTTCGGTAGCTCTGCTCTGAGGGGATTTTATGAGTTTGATTTTATTCACATTGATTTCCTTTCTGTCTCACACAGATTTACTCTCCCTCTCAGCCGCCGGTGGTACGAGTCACTAAAGGACTGCTGTTTTCTGAAGTCACCACTACCTTCACACAAATCACACACACTCTTCGGCTCTACAACATCCACGGTAAGAGAGGAAAGCAAACACTCAACACCTGCACTTCTCAGTTACGCTTGCAGTCACCACTATTTACAGTATGTAAATCAAATATTTACACTAGGGATTTGCAAAATGACATTTTCAAGTTCGACTAGTTGTCTTAGGGAAGTCCTGTATAATTAGGCAGCTTCTGAGTTTTTGTTAATGCCAAAAGTCGATGGTGGGAGGGTAGCAGTGTAACCTCAGGAAATCTCTGGTTGATTGACCCCCAGAAATTCCTTTTCTTTTCCAAGTAATCTTTGTTAAGAGAGCTTTTTATTCACATTACTATAACGGCTTGTTTAGTACAAGAGTGCTTTATTGGATGCTGTACAAAGCTTTTTTATTTTCTAGCTCAGTTATTGTTTTATAAATCTTTGTATTTTAAAAGTAAGCCTTTTTAATGTTCCTCAAGCTATAACAAACTGTGCAATCTTCAATGCCTAAAAAGGCAGTGCATTACACTACTAAGTTACAAATATTTAATCAACATCAGAAAGGAAGTTTGATATCAAAAGACAGTCCAAAAAAATATTTAATGGTGTGCTAAAATGGGATCATTTTGTGAAAGAATGAAATGCATTCAGAAAGGCTTTCTTATCAAGAGCACCGGGGGTTGGACGGTCTGTTTGTGACCCTTATGGGTGGGTGAGATAACATACATGAGTGTTTTTGAAAGAGCAGGGCAGTCACATGAGCCTTAGGGACCTTTCCCCCAGTGATGTTTGTTTTTGTCCAAAAAAAGAAAAGAATGAGGCAAAACCTCTTGTGGGTTATTCCCTTGAGTTCAAACTGGAATTTAGTATGCAAAGCTTAAGGAGAGGGACGTTCAACTCACACACAAAATAGTTGTCTCTGACATTATGTACACAAAAGGGGAAATTCTGAAGCTTGTACTGGTCGCTCTTTTCCATGCAATTACAACAAATGGCAACTGAAGCTTTCAAGCTTCAAAAAGACATAAAAAAAGATCAGAAAAGTTTTTAAAAAATGCAGTGTATTCAACTTGTTCACTAAATTTCAAGTGTTCATACAATAACCTTTAATTTAATCCGTTATTCACTGATAATCTTCCCCTCCTGTGGACTATTAACTGTTGCAACCAGATCATTAGGTTGAACCTGCGGACCTGATCAGTTTGATATGTGAAGAAATCATTCAGACTGATTTTGTGAACAGTCAGCTGATTTATATAATAGATCCAAAACAAGAGAATGATTCATTCATTAAGTTGTGTGGAATACTTTCATGATTTTGTAAAGCTGCTTTTTGTCATTTTGTTTGAACTTAGACTAAGTCTTCATTCACTTTGTCAGTTTTGGGGTTTGTAAGATTTTTTTAATGTTCTTGAAAGTTTTGAAAGTCCTTTATGCTCACAAAGACTGTATATATTTGATCAAACATACAGTAAAAACAGTAATACACTCTTTAAAATAATGGTTCTAAAAGGGGGTTTCACAGCGATGCCATAGAAGAACCATTTTGGGTTCCCCAAAAGTGAACAGTTCTTAAAATAACCTTTTTTCTCCTTATTGTGAAGAACCTTTTTCCACTATAAAGAACCTTTTGTGCAATGGTAAGATTTAGTGGATGTTAAAGGCTCTTCATGGAACCATAGATGCCAGTAAAGAACCTTTATTTTTAAGATTGTATTGTGAAATAGTATTACAATTTAAACTAACTGTTTTCTATTTTAATATATTTTAAAATGTAATTCATTCCTGTGATGCAAAGCAGAATTTTCAGCACCATTACTCCAGTCTTCAGTGTTACATGATCCTTCAGAAATCATTTTAATATGCTGATTTGCTACTTCAGAAACATTTCTTATTATTATAAATGTTGAAAACAGTTGTGTTGCTTAATATATTTGTGGAACCCATGATACATTTTTTCAGGATGCTTCTATAAATAGGAAGTTCAAAAACAACATTTATTTGACTGTCTTTGACTTTTGATCAATGTGTCTATGCTAAATAAAAGTATTTATAATTTCTTTCTTAAAAAAAATATTTCTGACCCCAAACTTTTGGACAGTAGTGTTAATAATGACATAATTTCATTTTTGAGAGAACTGTTCCTTCAGGTGGTTGCAATAGTGTTTTATCTAATTGCTGAGGTGTTTTGAGTAGTTTTTAGTTTTTTCTGTGTGATTGCTTGGGTGTTCTGGGTGATTGTTATGTTGTCGCTCAAGTCAAAAGAGCCCAAGTCTCTATGATATTCTGTGTCTCTAGAGATGTTTCAGGTCCTTCTTTAGTATAAATCTAGAACTTTTCCACCTAAATCGAAAAGTAATATCAAGCCACACAGTTTGAGGTATAATTTATGACTGTTGGACAAACAAAATTTAATATGTATGCTTAGGTGTTTGTTCAAATCATTAACTCAAAGTATGAGCAATAATATCAGTGATGGTTGCTCACTGAAAGTGTCAGGTTACCATTACACTATGAGCTAATGAGGACACACTCATGTAGAAATATTTCCAAGCTATCGTACTCCATAAAGCATAACCTTGTTTTTGTGGTTGTGCTGCTTATATGGAGCATGTTCTTCCACCTTTAAGGGGTTTTAATTTAATTAAAGGAAACGGACCATATTTGTTTCTTGCACTGTTTTATTCCCAAAGGCTCAATTAGTCCAATTCAAATTGTACATTTAGCATGAAGGAGTGTTTACTTATTTTCACCATACTCTGAAAATCGAATTGCTCAAATTCAACTTTAGCCAGGAACAGGCAAACAAGTTATTAAAGTTAAAAAAGGAAAGCAGTCGTTTGCTGTTGGCAAATGTACAGTTTGTGGTATTTTGGTGGTTTGTATGTGATTATGCTCCAAACAGTAAATTAGATGTTGTTTTGTGCATTATCAGCCTAATGATACTTATTGGTCTATATGGAAGTGGTCTTTAGTGGTCCTCGCTAAATTACTGTAGGTATTCAGTATACAATCAATCATGGGTTTAAAACAACATGAGAATGATACTTTTTGTGAACTGTTCCTTTAAATACTCAGATACAGTTGATGCTATGTGAGTGTTGATATAGAAATTGTAGTATGGAAGTGGAGGAAACAGATATCCAATCCTCTTCTGTTGCCTGTGCTCATTCGTCCGTTTTGACCCCTCTCTTTCTCTCTTTCTCATAGGTGTAGAGGGTCAGTCTGTTGAGCTCTGTAACACCGTAGATATAAGAGGCGAAATCAACCATGAAATTGCAATGAGGATAACCTCAGATCTGAACAGCAAAGATCGATTCTTTACTGACCTCAATGGCTACCAGGTAGGACATCAGTATATTCTTTTTATTCTCTCTCCCTGACACCCACATACACAATAAAGTTTACACTGTTTATATGCCAGTGTGGGTTATAAAGGCAAGGCAATATCGGTCAGGGCTCATCAGGGGAATCTGCGGTTCTCTTTCTAACATTTGCTCGCTATCTCACTATAGGAACGCCCCAGGTGTGACCGATTGCGGAAGCACCAATGACACCACGTCTGCCAATCATGGCAGACCAATCGCTGCAGCGATCAGGGAAAGAAACGTCCCTTATTTATGTTCAATTTTGGACGGGGTTTGTTTCTTGCAAGACCTCCTGGATAAGGGTAGAGCCTTTTCCACGGTTAAGGTTTATTTGGCCGCAATCTCGGCATATCATATAGAACTCGACTAGGGTACTATAGGCCAGCATCCTCTCGTCTGTCAATTCATGAGAGAAGCGCGGCGGTTACGCCCAGTATCAAAACTGCTGGTCCCGCCCTGGGATTTGTCCGTGGTCCTGAACGCGCTCTCAAAAACCCTGTTCGAGGTTGTTGAGAAGATCTCCTTAAAGCTGCTTTCTTTAAAGACTGCTCTGTTACTAGCTCTTACTACAGCGAAAAGGGTGAGTTAACTGCATGCCTTATCAGTTCATCCCTCATGTATGATTTTCGCTCCGGGTGGTCAAAAAGTAAATTTTAGAACTAACCCGGCGTTTATGCCTACAGTATTCGATCATGCTGGTTCAGGTCAATCTGTAGATCTGATGGCTTTCCATCCACCACCTTGTTCATGTCCAGAGGAGGAGCAGCTACACTGTTTATGTCCGGTGCAGACTCTACAAATGTATGTACAGAGAACCAGGGTGTCACAGGTACTGTGCTCTCAGGAGACAAATTTAAATCAAGAGAATAACCAACAGACAGATAAATCAGAAACATCTAAGAGCAAACTAAACATGACGGTGAACGGACGAAAACTAAGGGAGAACTGAGGACTTTTAAACAAAACCCAAAGAAAGGGAACTAATGAGATGATTAATACAACACAGGTGATAACTAATGAATGACGATTAACTAAATGAGAACAGGAACTGAACCAAATAAGGGCAGACAGGTACTAAACAGAAACCAACACGTGAAAGATATCGCCCCCCCTCCCGGAAGGTGTGGGGAGGGGGGCTGGGCACCCTGGAGGCTGATAAGGCGGATCAGGAGACTCAGGAGGCCATGGCGGATCCTCCGTGGCATTAGCTGGCTCGGCCACGGGGATATGGCCCCCCCAAAAAAATTTTCTTAGGGAAAACTAGGAATCCTGGGGGGCGCTCTGGAAGAGCAGGCACTTGAGGGCACTCTGGAGGGCGCTTTCGAGGAGCGGGCACTTGAGGGCGCTCTGGAGGAGTGGGCACTTGAGGATGCTTTCGAGGAGCGGGCTCTGGAGGACGCTCTGGAGGAGCGGGCACTTGAGGGCGCTCTGGAGGAGTGGGCACTTGAGGATGCTTTCGAGGAGCGGGCTCTGGAGGACGCTCTGGAGGAGCGGGCACTTGAGGGCGCTCTGGAGGAGTGGGCACTTGAGGATGCTTTCGAGGAGCGGGCTCTGGAGGACGCTCTGGAGGAGCGGGCACTTGAGGACGCTCTGGAGGGCGCTTTCGAGGAGCAGGTTCTGGAGGGCGCTTACGAGGAGCGGGCTCTGGAGGAGCGGAGTTCACTAATACAGGGGGCTCAGGAGACGAAGGAGGGCTGGACGGGACCAGCAGAGGAGAAGGAGATGAAAGAGACTCAGGAGATGAAGTAGGGCTGGGCTCCTGGTTGAGCTCTGGAGAGCATTCTGGGGCGGTCTCTGGAGAGTGGATCATGGCTGTTTCTGGGCTGAGGATCGGAATGGTTCTGGGAGCTGGATACGGAGGAAGGGAGGCAGATTTCAGCACTGACAGATGTTACTGCTGGGTCCGCTACCTTAGCCCCCAGCCCAGGCATGTGGAGGATCTCGGCCTGGGGTGAGCTGGCGAGGTCCAGTGGTTCTCAGAAGGGGCTGGATGAGAACGACTTTTAACTTCTCCAACCTCCTTTACTTCAAAGTTAGAGCCATTTAAGGATGAACAGGAACTCAATCATTGGAAACGACAACGAATAGTGTTCTCATCCAGTCCCAACTGAAAACAGGCACATAGAGAGGCATTGGGCCAGCTCACTTAATGGGAAAGCTCAATTAATTCCTCCACATACCTTTCCAGAGGGCGACCACCCTGTCGCAGGCAGCACAACTGGTCCTCAGCCCAATCCATCTTGTTTAGGGGTCCATTCATCTGTCACAGGTACTGTGCTCTCAGGAGACAAGTGCACAACATCCAGCACACAATCTTTAATTCCAACTTCAAATCAAGAGAATAACCAGGAGACAGATGAATCAGACACATCTAAGAGCAAACTAAACATGACGGTGAACGGACGAAGACTAAGGGAGAACTGAGGACTTATAAGCAAAACCCAAACAAAGGGAACTAATGAGATTATTAATACAACACAGGTGATAACTAATGAATGATGATTAACTAAATGAGAACAGGAACTGAATCAAATAAGGGCAGACAGGAACTAAACAGAAACCAACACGTGACACAGGGCACTTAGCAAAAGAAATCAGCTTTTTATTTCGTGGGCCGACTCTTTTAAGGGAAAGCCGTCCCTCTTGGTTGTAGAGGCAATCGTGTTATGTTACAATAACGCGAATATAGAGCCCCCAAACGAGTTATGAGCTCACTCTACCAGAGGTATAGCTACATCTTGGGCACTATTTAAGGGCATTTCTATCCAGGAAATGTGTGCTGCTGCTAACTGGACTTCCCCACACACTTTAGTGAGGTTCTATAGACTGGACGTAACAGAACCTTCACTTGCCCACTGGGAGCGAGTGGACAAATGGTACATTAAGCTTTTGGGTAATCCAGTTTATTATATCCAGTTTATTGACAACATTGTCGAAATTTTCAGACTTTACTGATCTGCTTTAACCACTTCAGTTGGGTCAAAGAGGTTTAATTCAGATCATATTCATCTTTAGTCTGCTTCGTCAGTACATCGGCAATATGGGAGTTGTCTATATCCCATAGTGAGATACCGAGCGAATGTTAGGCAGACATGGTGTCATTGGTGCTTCTGCAAACGGTCACGCCTGGGGCGTTTCCATAGTGAGATACCTCACTTCATGATTTCAGAGAACCGGAGTTACGTTAGTAACCTAAAGATCTCTCACTGAACCAGCCCATATGTGGACTGACTTTAGGATGTTACTAAACCTGCCCACAAATTTCAGCCTCTTCATCCTATCAAAACATGGTTTTGATGATATAGTCAGAAGTTTTGAAGGAAAGAAAGCAAAAATGCTTTGGCCTTTTTACGGAAAGAAACTAAAATATGTGTAATTTGATGACAAATGTAACAGAATATACACTACCTTTCAAAAGTTTGAGGTCAGTGAGATTTTTAAAAAAAGAAATTAATACTTTTATTCAGTTGGACGCATTAAATTGTTCACATTTATAATGTTACAAAAGACTTCTATTTCAAATTTACATAATATAAAGACTCGTGCATAGATTTTTTTCTTCTGTGAAACGTCATATTGGGTACCAACAACATGTCTGCTGGCCTCTTTTCCCTACAGTAAACAAATATCATAAAATAATTATCTAATTTTATCTATAATTAATTGAAACACAAGAATATGAACAGATGCTGCTGTTATGGCCTGATCACACACATCAAATGTGATGAAACCACATTTTCATCAGTCTCTGAATAAAGATAACACACCTAAATGAAAGTGAAACATTTTAATGACAAGAAGCATGTTGTTGCCGGATTTAAGTTAAATACATGATCTCAAGGTGTGGATATAGACGGCTAGCTGGACTAATTCTGTTTACTGACGAGTAACACTAATCAACAAAGGAGTCATCAGAAGTTAGTTAATTTATGTTTTGGCAGTCTTGTTTGATTTTGGTTGATAGTGCCAGAATGCCTAGTTGTTTCTGGATGGCATAATGAAAATGTCAGTTTGTTTTTCATTTCTTTTGACAAATAATTAATCAAAAAAGAGTTTAGAGTGTGCTCTAGGGCTGACCAAAACAAACAAGTGTCAGTTTAAATCACTCTATCATGTTTTTTTTTTTTTTTACATGTTGGAGTATTAGCGTGGCATTTAATTAGCAGATGATGACTCTCTGGCCTTGGCCAGGATTAAGTGCTTTTCTTCGGTCCAAACTAATTAACTGACTTCAAAAAACAAATGCTTCATGAATAAAAACAGTGGAATATCCAATCCATTTTTCCTCCAAGTCACATTAACACACACTTGTGCACACACATCGAAGCTCATCAATTTACAGTGTTTTTTCCTTCAGATAAGTGTCTCCACCTGCCCACACTCAGTGTTTGCAGGGGGAATTTGGAGCTTTTCCTCCCTGCAGTGCTAAAAATGCCGTGGGCTGTTTTTACAGGTGCAGCCGAGGAAAACCATGGCTAAGCTCCCCCTTCAGGCAAACTTCTACCCCATGACCAGCATGGTCTACCTGCAGGACTCCAGCGCCAGACTCTCTCTACTCACTGCACAGTCACTCGGAGCGGCCAGCCTCAAGAGCGGTCAGTTTTAACTCACTTCTAAGTGCTGTAGGTTTTGGATCTGGGTTTGAAAATCTGAATGAAACCTGGAAATAAAAAAGGTTTTTAAGAATTTAAAGTTATTGTCTAAAATTAACAAGAAACATTTAAGATTCTGCAATTAATTTAATTAATAATGCATGATTAAACATTCCAGATTCAGCATTATTTGGACACTGATCAAATAAACAAATTTGTACTATTGACCATGTGAACTCAGATATAGGAATTTTATCATCTCAACTATTCAGCTATTTATCTCAGTATTAACAGATGCCCATATTTACACTAACATACAAAAGTCTGGGTTAAAAAAAATATATTTTTTTAAAGTAATTAATATTTTTATTCAGGAAGGATGCATTAAATTGATCAAACGTGACAGGAAAGATATTTATAATGTTACAAAAGATTTCCGTTTCAAATAAATGCTGTTCTTTTGAACTTTCTATTCATCAAAGAATCCTGGAAAAAAAATCATGGTTTTTATACAAAAATATAAAGAAGCACAGCTGTTTTCAACATGGATAATAATATGAAATGTTTATTGAGCACAAAATCAGCATATTAGAATGATTTCTAAAAGATCATGTGACACTGAAGACTGGAGTAATGATGCTGAACATTCTGCTTTTCGTCACAAGAATACATCATATTTTAAAATGTATTGAAATAGAAAACAGTTATTTTAAATTGTAATCACAATATTACTGTTTTTACTGTTTTTTGATCAAACAAATAGTGAGCATAAGAGACTTCTTCCAAAAACCCCAACATTTTGAACGTTAGTTTACATTATGATGTTTTAATGCTTAATTTCACTTAAGCATCACAACATTTATTGGCACTGAAAAAAACCCCAAAATTACTGACTTTAGTTTTTAGTGTTGTATTTTATTTCTTATTCCTTAAATTGAATAGATTTTTAATATCATCCTAAATGCTCTTTGGATCATTCTCAAATCATGCTGGAGAACATGATCGACAGATATTACAGAAACTGCTGTCAAACCAAATATTAAGACATTCTGAAAAATAAAATGCTCTTTATAATGAGAATGTCCCTCTCATGTCATTGTAAATACCACATGCCAACTAAATGCTGCAACAGTTACAAAACCGTAAGCAAATAATTTGACAGCCTACATTTAGACACATCAGTAACCATCAGAACTGCTATTCTCGGGTTTTTGTTTGAATAGATATGGCCTCACTCCACTCTGGCAGGTCTACAGGCGTAGGTGAATTGGTGAAAAACACTCCAAAAGTTGAATGTAAAGTGCTTTTGTTCATAATACAATCTGTCAAGTGTGGTTTTGTCAGGTTGTTTTGTAAAAAAAAAAGATTTATTTGTTTGGTGCTCAAACAGCAGGCTCTATGGTCTCGTGGTCTATGGAACACATGATTTATGCATGTCCATTGGAGGCATCAGTGGGTGTTGTGGTGAAGTATGTGTGACATCCTAATGAAGCTCATTGCTGTGGATTCCACAGGTCAGCTGGAGGTGATTATGGACCGCAGGCTCAATCAGGATGATAATCGAGGTTTAGGCCAGGGAGTGCTGGACAATAAGATCACTGCCAACTCCTTCCGCCTACTACTGGAGAAGAGGAGCTCTGCGGAGGAGGTAATCAGGATGGAGAAATGATTGAGCTAAAGAAGAAAAAAAAAACATACATCCATTAATGACCACTTGCTCTCAGTGTCTGGCTTTTTGGAATTTTGGAAGTTCCCTGCTGAAACTCATTTAAGACACAGTTAAGCACAATGAAACACAATTAAGCACAGATTCTGAGTATAGGACACACTTGGCCCAAAAAAAAATAAAAATAAATTAAGACCTTTATTAGCTGATTATTGTATGTAAGTTACATGTACTCATGACCATGGCATTGCTAGTGCTTTTCTCTGTTCAAGCTACAGGAAGGCTTTTTGTTATTAAAATTATAAATATTGCATATTTAATTGCACATGTTAATTTCCCCTGTTTTTATATTTAGGTTACTTTTGCCATCATCTAACACTCACTTAATCTTTAAAAACACTATTTAATAATACTGTTAAATTTACGCAATTATTTTCAATCTCAAAAAGAATATAAATTTTTCATACTGTACACCATAATGCTATGATGCCTACATTCATATGTCGAATTTAAAAGGACTGCTTTTAGTTTTTAATGATTTTTTAAAAAATGTATAAATAAATAAAAAAATTTGACTACTGTTCAAAAGTTTGTGGTCAGTAAGATTTTTAAAATATTTTAGAAAAAGTCACTTATGCTCACCAAGGCTGCATTCATTTAATCAAAAAGAATACGTTAAAAACAGCAATATTGTGAAATATTATTACAATTTTAATTTTATTTTATTTTAAAACATAATTTATTCCTGTGATGCAAAGAAGAATTTTCAGCATCATTACTCCAGTCTTCAGTGTCACATGACCCTTCAGAAATCATTCTAATATGCTGATTTACTGCTCCAAAAAAACATTCTTATTATAAATGTTGAAAACATTTGTGGTGCTAAATATTTTTAATATATAATTTTTTTTTCATGATTTCTGATTAATTGGAAAGTTCAAAAGATTTTGAACTTTGCAACATTTTATATGTGTTTACTGTCACTTTTGATCAGTTTAATGCATCCTCGCTGAATAAAAGTAAAAATTTATTTACAAAAAAAAATCTTACTGACCACAAACTTTTTAATTGTAGTGTATGTATATAGATAAATAGTATAACCTGTTATGGCTTTAACAGTCCCAGAAGATGAGCTTAAGGTGCTAGCTGTTTAGGGTTGGGCGATGTCTACCAAATTGGCATCGGACGATGTCTGCAGTGAAACATCGTGATGGACGATGACATCGGGGGCGGGATTAGGAGTGTGCCCGAAGCGTGAAACAAATAACGCGTTCTACGGAGACACTAAAAGGTTAGCTGCTTGCTAGCGGTAGCCTGTTGCATTACAGTACATGAAAGTTCACTTACCACATACACAGAGTAAGGAGAAATGTCTGATAGGACGATGGCGAATGATTTGCAGATCCTGAGCACCACTGACAAATATATAATCTTGTCAAATGTGTGGTAAGTACTGCCGCTCCATAGTATAGAGTCCTTGTGATCACAAATCTCGAAAGTGAAAGTAAAATGAGAGCGCGCAATCAAAAGGGGTTTCAATAGCGGCTCCCTGATGCCCGCAATTTATATACAGTTGCCTATACTTGCCCAACGATATAATTGCGAGAAAATGTATTGAAATATTTTTTTAATCCTCCCATCTCGTAGGCTATTTATTCCCTTTAGGGTTTCCGTAGTACACTTCATTTCCTTTCCGAACACGGAACTGGGATGCGGCAGATTGCGGTAGAGGGGGTGGGGGGGAAGGAATCACGATGTCAGCTTAACATCGTGATGGCTGTCAGCCATCGGCGATGGACGATGGCATCGTCTATCGGCCCAACCCTATAGCTGTTTTTACAGGACTGATAGTGGGTCCAATCTTGTCGTTTATGGTCATTAGGTGGTCTAGATGCTTAAACAGATGGACTGCCGGCTTGTGGACACTGTGGACCAACAACAAACCATCGCCCAGTTTCTAATGCTGTAATAACCGGCTTGACCACCTTAACCTGTTTGTTTTCCCCAGCAGGGTTGAAAAAATAACCTGTTGGCTACTGTCTACTTAGGCCAGAAACATATCAGAAACTGGTCATTGCGGTCCCATTGTACATCTTTGCTTTAATGTTCTTTCTTGTGTTATTGTGGCTGTAACAAACCTCAGTGCTTGATGGCACTCTATGTAATATATGTATTATACGAAAAGAGTGAAAAATTGAAGGGGGTCTGAATACTTTCCGTACCCACTGTATGTATTATACGATGATAGTTTAAATAACTTTAACTGTCTTAGCTAGATTTTCCTGGAAATGCTGCTACTAAATCAGGACAGTTGTTGTAGAAGACTAATTCAGGAGTGTTTGCATTCACATACTTGCACAGTTTCCTGATTTAGAATGAAACCTATTTTAATTTAATGCTGACTTTTCTGTCTTAGGCCCAGAGTGAGGAGACCGCACCAAACAGCTATCCGTCTATATTGAGTCACATGTCATACATGTACCTGAACCATCCCCTCATCTCAATGGCAGTCAGTCAGCGCTCGGACGCCCCATCCTTGATTCCCTATTAAACTATATTTTAGTTTACCATAAATGCTTGTCAGTACATTTGGCAGTACACTTTAATCATATTTCAAATTCAGTAAAATTAATTGAGAAATTACATATAAAGATATACTTAAGTGGTCAAAAAGCAATCACAAGTTCAGTTACATGCATTTAATAGCAATTGAAATTATATTACATTTGCATTTAATTGCAATTAACATGCATTTAAGTGTAAGAAAACAGTACCTTCAGTTCACACTTTTTAAAGGTATGCTTCAGCTGAGAATCAGCTGATGCAAGCTTGACTCATGTGACCTGCCAGAACTAACGCTAACGCTTAATTTTTTGAAAATATAGCCACAAGATTTAAAGTTGCACCCAATATTTTATCTTATTAAGAAGTTTTATGCGTAAAGATATGAATAATAATTTTCAGAAATTTTAAAAATGAAGAATAATGCACACACACGTGATATGAAATATCAGTCTTCTAGGAAAAGCTGTATAATTCTAAATGGAATGGGTGGCTCCCTCATGGATGCTGCCATTTTTAAATCACATGACAAGTTGTGTCGCAATTGACCCAGTTACCAAAAATATAATAACAACAGCAATAATAATACAAAGGGGCCGCAGTTAGTAATCAAACGTAGTACATCCAGACCAATAGGTGTCAGTATAATGTGCAAAACAAATGGGTGAAGAAGAGCTAGTGAAGTGGACATTTAAACAGTTTGTAACTTTTGATATGAAACAGTCTCAGCTTTCAAATTCTGTCAGTTTTATAACAAAATTCAAACAACTGTTGTTTTGACACTCTATAATGTAACTACGATGTAAGATGTCAGTAGAGCGGCTTGTAAACGACATGCCACATTAAATTACATTTACCTCAGGAAAGTCATTATAATCTTTATTCAATTAGAAAAAATTAATAATTCTAGAGAGGAGTATTTTGCTAATTATATGCACTATATTACATATTCATATTTTTACTTAGCCTGTTTAATTTTATTTAATGTAAATCTGTCATGAAAACAAGATTTTATTAGAGCCGCTGTTTAAATGTTTCAGTGAATTGGAGTAGAAGCATAATTGTTTTTCAATTTGATATACAACTAATTTTGATGAATTTATTGATTATTAAATAAAGTTTATTTTCAGTTTTCTGCTAAATGAAAAAATTAACTTAAAAAATCATTTCGGTACATCACTAGTTTTAATCCAGTATTTCCACTTTTTGTAGATGCAGTTTGTAGATGCAGTAACTGTAATACAATACAATACATGCAAGAATACCAGAAACGCATATTAACGTATACATTAATGCATAATTCTCTATACAACTTTATAGAAATCCAGCTTTGCCCAAGCTCAAATAATACACATTTCTGTACGGAAGAGCTGCATGTGTGCTTCATAAAAAAATAAGTGAAGCCCACCATATTCCTTGCCTCACAATCAATTCATTGTAAGTGCATTACTGTAAATGCAATCATTGTTTGATTTTACAAACCGAAGGACACGTCAAAATTATTGTGCCATGCTATGTTATTTTGAACCAGCAAGACTGCTTTAAGTTCCTTTGTTTTCTGAAGTCTTGAGGAGAGACTCTTTCCATGGTGTTGTGATGGGAGACCCTCTCACTGTGGTGCTGAGCTGCAGCTGATGAGTGAAAGGCAGCGCTCCATAATTGGCCCAGTGTGTGCATGTGGAGAAGAATCGGTGTTGTGTTTATGCGGCCTGAGGCTCTGTCTCGCTTCTCTCGCAGGAGGAAGGGGGAGGTCCATCCGAGCAAGCTGCTTTGATACTGCACAGAAAAGGCTTTGACTGTGGCTTCTCCAATCGGAACACTGGCCTACTGTGTTCCACCACACGTGGCAAGGTAAAGCAGATCACGCGGCTTCCTACACACAGACACACATCACTAATTTAAAGAGGGTCTCATTACTCATTACTGCTACTTAATTTTGGCCTGAGTTTTGGAGGCTTATATTTAATAATAAATAAATAAATAAGATTGTACATTTGCTCCCAAAAGGATAGTTCACACAAAAATGTAAATCTCGCCGAGGTTGCTTTGTTTCTTCTCGATAGGTGAGTAACACCGTGTCTGTGCCGCAACAGCTAAAGTCTGTCTAATACACTGGATGCGACAAAGCGACCGTTGAAAATCCTTTGAAATTTGTGTCAATACGTCATGAATAGAACCAGAACTAATCGTTGCCTGGGTTGCGTACGTATGTGTGGGGCAGAGCTATCAAAATAGGGGCGAGACCATTTTGGGGGTAGGAGCGTGTTTGTTTTGGTGATTTCAAATGTCAACATTGGCTACCAGAAATCGCTTACCCCACCTTTAAAAGTTGCTCTGCATAGTTTAATAGTTGCTTTGTTCTGTGAAACAAAGCAAAACCAATGTTACACCGTCTACACCGGTGTTCTGACGATTTGTGCTACCCGCTCAGATTGTGCTACCTCCCATTAAAAAGATAGGTAGCACAAATCGATAGCGAAAAATTCTACCTATCAGATTGTGCTACCAGCATGTTATTCATGTGGTTTGAGGCTTTTTTTAATGTCCATACCTAACCCTACCCTAAACCTACCCGTCCACACCTACCCTTACCCTAAATTTACCCTTAAAACAAAAT